CCCCATTTCCAATTCCTGCCTCAAAAGCAACACTCAGTCCTCTCCAGCCCCCCAAAACCACACTGTACAAGCAACCGTACCCCAGCTCCTCCCCTATCCCGAATCTCCGGGGTCCAAAACAGTACCATCCCTCCCTTCTTTTCCATCCATAATCCACTGAATCTACGTTACTTAGCCGCCAAACCCACAAACGAGTGCATACTACGCGGCTCAGCAAAGTTCAGCAGTTGCCTACCCCAGCCCTCTCCTGCCCTGTGTCTCTACTCCCCAAACCCACACCAAAGCGCCCCCTCTGTCCCAACTACCAAGCCCCAAATGTACGTTACCTAGAGCTCAGAGTAACGTTTCCCACTGCCAACAGCAGTTTCCGTAATTCGATGTGCAGCCGAGTTTTATTGATTGCCCTCAACAACTTTTTCATGTTTCATGCACTGGGCTTCACGCAAATCATCAAATATACCCGTCTCCTCCGAGGACACGTTGGGTGGTGGTGCTGCCTGCTCCAGGATATCAAGCGCCGTCCTGAGTTCCTCCACAAGCTCATTTGGTATTTCCTGAGAACCAGCACGCTGTAATAAGAAATGTTACAAAAAATTTTACAATGTTACCGACTTAACATAGTGAAATATTTCCAAAAAACTGTTTTAATGGTGAAATATGTTTCTTCAGTCCCAGAATAAGGCAGGAATTCCCTGTGCCATGTTAATGTTGAGCAAGCCTAAGTAGCACCAGTCTTCACAAAGGAGCGCAGTGAGAGGACGGATAGACACATAAGGCAGCGAAGAGAGCTCCGGTACAGATGCGTCCAAGGTGAGCGCAAACCCAAAGATTCGTTTAATTCGCACTCCATACTGACAGTGCAGCTAATTCATGTAGTTTACACACCCTCAGCGTGCCAAAAACCAAAAAGAAGTGAGTGAAAACCAGCAAACCTGCACGGCGTCAAAAAAACTATCCCGCAAGTTCGGGCCACGCCACATCGTCGACCGAGGCTGAATGCTTTCTTCCTCACTCATTCAGCAAAACTAACTGTCAACAGCTGCAGATACTGAAGCATCCGAACTTTCTTCCCAAGCTGGAAGTATGCAAAATTTGCAGTTCACCCTGTCCGTGACAGTCCCATCAAAATTTGTTCACAGCCCGCTCCAAAAGCAACTTTTACTCGTTTTATATGAACCGTGAGGGTACAAAGGCATCACACGGTTAACAATTCCCCAAACTGAAAGAAGGCAGAGTGTTTTTTCGGGTATTAATAAAAGCAGATGAATTAAAGGAAGTGAAAGGAATTACTTATAGCAGTTTTCAGCACAAGATACTGACTTATTTCTACTGAAACTACAGTGACAGAAAAGTACCAGTACAGTTGCGTGACAAAAATTTCCAAGAAAAAAGACGGAAATTAAAAAATTTCCTTGGGGGGAACAGAGATCCTACTCTTCGATCCGCGTATGCTAGTCCACAAAAACATACGCAAAAAAGTTGCAGATATTTAAAGCATGAATACTGCCCGGGGGGACGCAAAATAACAAGACGAAAAGCCATTTATTAAATAAGTCACGCAAAAATTAGCAGCACAATGGAAGTGATAAACGAGATGAAACTGCAGGAGAGCCAAGTGACACATGAGGTCCAAAGTAAGGAGCTCAAAATTAAGCAAACAATGAGCAACAAACACTTAAAGCACTAAATAATGATCGTAGAAAATTAACAGAAAACAGCAGTCAAATCACTAGCAATCATGGAATCTTGACTGATGCGACAAGTCGATTCAGGAGCATTGTAGAGGGAATTTTGCAATGATTAAAACTTGATCAAAGCAGGAAGAAAGCCCCTTCGGAGATGGACGGACTGCTGCAAATCTGGAACAAGCAATAACGAAGTCCTGTGCGAGCTGATCAAGGACCAAATTTTGGCAAATTCTACTTCTGACAACGAATGCAAATGAACAAATACCATGCTCGCATAATTTTTGATAAAAACAATGCATCCGTATAATTAAACAGTGACTATGATGCTATTTACGGGCGAGTGTAACAGAGATCTTCACACTGTGAAAGGAAAAGTGCACGGGCAATGACTCTTCCTCATACCATTCACAGTGCGGGACAGCAGCGGTGTGTTACAAGGAATTTATCATGCGGATTTATTTAAAACCTAATGAGGGCAAACAAAAGAAACAAATAACTGGTAGAGATACAGCTTCAAAAAGCGATAACAGATACAAGAAAATCACGACGAGAAGCAAAATGCTTTTCTAGCTAATGTAGCCTGGAGAAATCAACATGCTTTGAGTAGAGAACAAGTCAAAATCTCTGTCGTGCCGAGAAATGCCCAAAGTGTTCGCAC